AATTATTCTTTAAATGTTTGATAGAATTCATATGTGAATCTCTCTGGTCTTGGGCATTTTTTTCTTAGGAAGCTTATTTATGCCTTGTTCAATTTCTTTTTCTGAGATGGAATTATTTAAGTATTCTATTTCCTCTTCTCTTATTCTGAGCAATTTACATTTTTGTAAATATTCATCCATTTCACTTAGATTATCAAGCTTACTAGGATATAATTGGGCAAAACAGCTCCTAATGATTGCTTTAATTTCCTTTTCATTGGTGGTGAATTCATTCTTTTCAGTTTTGATACTTATTTGGTTTTCTTTCTTTTTTAAAAAAAATCAAATTAACTAATGGTTTGTCAATTTTATTTTTTCCCCATAAAACCTTTTGATTTTTTTGATTAGTTCAATGGTTTTCTTACTTTTAACTTTATTAATGTCTCCCTTGATTTTCAGGATTTCCAACTTGGTGTTTAATTAGAAATTTAAATTTTTTTATTTTTAGTTCTTTTTAGTTGCACGCCTACTTCATTGATCTGTTCTTTCTCTGTGTTATTGACTTAAATGTTTAGAGAGATGAATTTTCCCCTAAGTACTGTTTTGGCAGCATTTCATAAATGTTGGTGTGTTTTCTCATTGTTGTCATTCTCTGTAAGGAAATTATTGTTTCTATGATTTTTTTTTACTCATTCTTTTTTTTTTCCTATTTAAAAGTGTTTTATTTTGTCCAATTACATGGAAAGATAGTTTTCAACATTTACTTTTATAAGATTTTCAATTCCAGATTTTTTTCTCCTTCCCTTTTCTTCTCCCTCCCTACAACAGCAGGCAATCTGATATAGGTTATACATGTACAATCATATTAAACATATTTCTACATTAGTTATGTTGTGAAAGAAGAAACAGAACAAAAGAAAAAAACAAAAAAAAGTGAAAATAGTATCTTTTGATCTGCGTTCAGATTCCATAGTTTTCTTTATCTGGATGTGGATAGCATTTTCCATCATGAGTCTTTTGAAATTGTCTTGGATCATTGTATTGCTGAGAAGAGCTAAGTCAGTTATAGGTGATCATTGCACAATGTTGCTCTTACTGTGTACAGTGTTCTTCTGGTTCTGCTCACTTCACTTTGCATCAGTTTATGTAAGTCTTCCAGGTTTTTCTGAAATCTGCCTGCTCATTATTTCTTATAGCATAGTACTATTCCATTACATTCATATAACACAGTTTGATCAGCTATTCTCCCTTTGATGGGCATCACCTCAATTTTCAAATCTTTGTCACCACAAAAAGAGCTGCTATTAATATTTTTGTAAATGTAGGCCCTTTTCCCTTTTTTAGGATCTCCTTGGGATACAGACCTAGTAGTGGTATTGCTGTCAAAGGGCATGCACGGTTTTCCCTTTGGATATAGTTCCAAATTGTTTTCTAAAATGTATGGGTCAGTTCACAGCTGCACCAATAGTGCATTAGTGTCCTGATTTTCTCACATTCTCTCTAACATTTCTCATTTTCCTTTTCTGTCACATTAGTCAATCTGATAGATGTGAAGTAGTACCTCAGAGTTGTTTTGATTTGCATTTCTCTAGTTAATAGTGATTTAGAGCATTTTTTTTCATGTGACTATAGGTAGCTTTAATTTCTTCATCTGAAAACTGCCTGTTTATATCCTTTGACCATTTGTCAATTGGTGAATGATTTATATTCTTATAAATTTGACTCAGTTCTCTATTTATTTGAGAAATGATGCCTGTATCAGAACACTTGCTGTAAAAATTGTTTCCTAGCTTTCTGCTTTTCTTCTAATCTTGGTTGTATGGGTGTTGTTTGTGTAAAACCTTTTAAATTTAATGTAACCAAAATTAACCATTTTGCATTTTTAATGTTCTCTGTATCTTGTTTGGTCACAACTTCTTCCTGTCTCTATAGATTTGACAGGTAAACTACTCCTTGCTGTCCTCATTTGCTTATGGTATCACCCTTTGTGTCTAAATCACGTACCCATTTTGACGTTGTCTTGCTATACAGTGTGAGACGTTGGTGTATGCTAATTTTTGCCATACTATTTTCCTGGTTTTTCTGGAAATTTTTGTCAAATAGTGAGTTCTTATCCCAGAAGGTAGAGTCTTTGTGTGTATCAAGCAGTAGATTACTATAATCATTTACTACTGTATCTTGTGTACCTAACCTATTCCACTAATCCACCACTCTATTTTTTAGCCAGCACCAAATTGTTTTGATGATTACTGCTTTATAATGTAGTTTTAGATCTGGTAGGGCTAGGCCACTTTCCTTTGCATTTTTTTTCCATTAATTAATTCCCTTCATATTCTTGACCTTCTATTCTTCTAGATGAATTTCTTATTATTTTTTCTTGCTCTGTAAAATACTTTTTGGTAGCTTGATTGGTGTGGCATTGAATGAGTAAATTAATTTAGGTAGAATTGTCATTTTTATTATGTTACCTCAGCCTACCCTTGAATAGCTAATATTTTTCCAATTGTTTAGATCTGATATTTGTTACTTTTTCTTTTGGTTTAGATTATGTAGTTTCTAATTAATTTTAAATTTATATTTTCTAGGTTCATTGTTTTTCCAATAAGATATTTCACATTTTCTTCTATTTTTACATTCTTTTGATTTTGTTTTATTGTTTCTTGAAGTTTCATAAAGTCATTAGCTTTTACTTGCCCAATTCTAATTTTTAAGGAATGATTTTCTTCATTGAGCTTTTGTACCTTCTTTTCCATTTGGTCAGTTTTACTTTTTAAGGAGTTATTTTCTTCAATGAATTTTTGTACCTCTTTTTCCATTTGGCCAGTTCTGCTCTTTAAGTAGTTCTTCAGTGAATTTTGGTTTGGTTAAGGTTTTTTTTTTTAAAGTCTTTAGCATTTTTTTTTGTGCCTACTTTAGCAAGCTGTTGACTCTGTTTTCTTGATTTTCTTGCATCGCTGACATTTCTTCTCCCAGTTTTTCCTCTACCTCTCTTGATTTTTAAAACCCTTTTGAGCTCTCCCTGGAATTCTCTTTTTTGGTCTGTGAGTAATTCACATTTTTCTTTGAGGCTTTGGCTGTAGCAGTTTTGACTTTGTTGTCTTCTGTGCTCGTATCTTGATTTTCTGTGCGACCATAGTAACCTTTTAGGGTCAAGTTCCTTGTTGTTTGCTCATTTTCCCAGCCTATTTCTTGACTCTCAACTTTTTGTTAAAAGTTCAGCTTTCATCTGGGGTGGAGAGAGCGCTGTCCCAAACTTTAGACCTTTCTTGCTCTTATTTTCAGAGCTAGCTCTAGGGTTTTCTAGGTTGTCAGTTCTTCTACATATACCATATACCTATGGTGCAACCATAGGAGAGGTGTGGTCACTGCCCTCTTGGCCTATACTGTGTTCAGAGTGACCACAAGCACTCTTCTCTGCCCTGAGTCTGTGATCAGTGTCCCTGCCCCACTGTGGCTAAAATCAATAGTGTGCTAATGTTTCTAGGACTGCAGCCTAGAACTGAGTATGGGCAGTGTGACAGGGCCCTGTACCTAGTACCAGCAAAGAGTTCCTTGCATCTCCTTCTGACCAGTTGTCTGTGTTTTGAGAGCGACTGAAGTTGCTATTGCCATTGAAGAACTGCCTCCTCAGACTGCTGCTGGCAGCTACACCCCCCACTCTCAGCTCTAGCGTGACTAGACTCCAGGTCCAGCTATCACCCCACTGAGACAGACCTTTCCTCCTGAGTTCTCCTGCTGTGGAATATTGTTTCACCCCACCCCTTGTTGGTTCTGCTACTCTAGAATTTGAATTGAGAAGTTATTTTAAAGTTGTTTGGGGAATTTGGGAGAGCTCAGGTGACTCCTTGTTTTTACTGCACCATCTTGACTTTGTCAACGTATTGTTTTTACCTCAAGAAAATCATCTCCTCAAAGAAAGAAGTTGAGTTTTATCCTAAAATAAAAATCTTAAGAGTAGCATTTATATGACTGAGTTTGTAGAACCAAAGGAAATGACAATAAATTCCTATTTTATCTATTTTTTAACAATAACTAGATTTGTTGCCTATAGCAATATACAAATAATAGAAGATTTTGAGGTTGATCAGAATAAAACAGAAACTTGCCAAGGTGGATCGTAACTAACAGCCAGATTTGGGGGTTGGGGTGGTATTTTTCTAATCAAATTTATTTGGTTATCTAGGTTTTTTAGAGAATAATTACAGTTATTGGAGAACTCATACTAAATGTTTCAACAGCTGATTGAATCAAATTTACCAAGGATTCAATAGTGACTAGAAACAACATGGAAGAGAGTTTTAGTGGACTGGAAGATCAATGTGGATATGATGTAGCAGAAAAAAATAAGCTAATTGGGTATTAGTTTGCATTAATAGAAGCAATAGTGTTAACTATGAGGGAAGTGATAGTCTTCATAGCAGTGTGGTATGTTGAACAAAATGCTGCCTGGGGGAATCAAAGAGACCTAGTATTATACAGGCTTTTATACTTAATAGCAAATGTGATCCTAGTCAGTCAACCAGAGAAGTTATATATCCAAATCTCATAGGACAGCTTAAGGATCAAACGGAGAATAAAGATAAAGTACTTTTGTAAACCAGAGAGAGAGAGAGAGAGAGAGAGAGTGTGTGTGTGTATGTATAGATATAGATAGATAAAATTTTAAATAAAAAAAGGGTAGCGATTACCATTGTTATTATTCTACATAAATAGACTCTAGAACAGGGGTGGAGAACTTGTGGCCTTGAGGCCTCATGTGGCCCTTTAGGTCCTCAAGTGCGGTCCTTTGACTGAATCTAAGTCCTTTGACTGAATCCAAATTTGGGTTGCCCTAGGCAACTCTCTAAGGCCTCCTTACAGAGAAACTGCTCATCTGTATTGGTGGAGGTATTTTCCATAGGGGGATTTCCACTCTATCAGCTAAATCATAGGTTTGGATGAAGACAATATCCCAGCTTAAGCTACTTGATGCAGTTTTAGTAGAAGCTATTTCACTATTAACTTTTTTTTCTTTGTTTCAGGTTTCCCCTCAAAAAACCTATAAGGTAAGTTGTTCAGTACAGTAAACTTCTAAAAGTTTCTCAGTCATGACATTATAAGAGTAAGCATACATTTTAAATTTAGTTTAAAACATCACAGGTACATTTTATTTATATTAGGATTGAAAAAGTGAATTACAGAAAAGGATTCAGTTTAAAATCTTCAAAGTAACAGAATATTTTGCTATTGTAAAAGGTACCTAATGTTTCTTATTTTATTTTTACAAAATAGCATTGCTTTAATAATGTATTTTTAGTAGATTTAAAAATATTGGTCATTGTTATTTAGGGTTGCAACCTATGAACATACTTCATTTTGCAGTCTTTCTAACTATTTTAAGAAATGAGCTAGCTTCAAGGTTGTAGTGGAAGTATATTGCCAGTTCAGAATTTTTTTTTAGTATTTGTGTGACTGCAGTTGACCTTATTTTAAGAAATGCGTTCTGGCATGCTGGTATATCATAAGAATCTTAATTAACTTTTAAATGTTTAAGGAATTTTAACTTTACACAAAATTTAAATTTAAATTAGATATGTAATATATACATGCAAAATGCATCCAGGGATAAAAGAACTAGCTCTCCTTTTCTTCAGTACTTTTACTGCAGCAATTATTCTCTCATGTTAACATGTTTATCTAAAAAAACTTAACGCTTCACAGACAATATAATAGCTTTGTTTTTTCCATCTAGACTAAAATGTAAAGAATGATTTAGTGCCAATATTGGTTCTTCTAATGATTAAATAGCTGTTATATATTATTGCTAGAGTGTAATAAACTGGCTTGATCAGGATTTTGACCTGACTATGCTTTAAAATAAAAAACAGTTCTAGTTCTATCAAGAGTTAATAGTAGTGAGCTGAGATTTCTTTGGCCAGAGCTTTAGACAAGCTGTTATTACCTTGGTTCCCTGACTGGCTATCTGTCCTTTAGAATGGAGAAGATTGCAGTGAAGACAGTGAATTGTGTGTAGGTTTTATAACCCCACAGTTTGGCACAGTTAGAGGCATGGAGTAGATGCTTAATTGATGCTTATTGAATAGAGAAATTAATATTAATTCATATCTAGAAAGAACTCTTACAATTTATAAAGTGCTTTCCAGATAACACTGTTGCATAGACATTGAAAATGTTTTTATCCCCCATTTTATAATTGAAAAAACTGAGGGTTAGAGAAGCTAAGTGATTTGTCCATAGTAACATAGCTATTATCAGAGATGGAACTTGAACCTAGGTCTTTCATTCTTAAATCCAGTGAGTTTTTTGTTTGTTTGTTTTTTTAAATTTGTACAAGCTGCCTCTCCTAAATACCTGGGTTCCTGTCTGTCAAGTCAAAATAATAATGGTCAATGAATCTTTAATGAACCTACTAAAATTTTTGAACAAACCTTTGTTTAGATACAGATGTGAACTATAAAGAGTAAATAGTGTTTTAAATGTTTACAAATACATCTACTGAAGAGACATACTATATTGCATGTTGGAGAGACTAAAGCTTTAAGCCACTTGAGAACAGAGTAAGGAAAAAAATGTAGGACAAATTAGATGTAGGGAAAAAAGAGAATTGCTTTCTTCTTCCTTGTTCCTATTTTAAAACTCACCTTTTTGGTTTTTACAAAATTTCTATTCTAGTGATTCAGAAATTGACATATGGTTATTTTATTTGTTTATATATCTATCCATCTCACCATTTATTTGGTTATTTGCTTACCTTCTTATTTATTATCTATTTCAAATTTAGGCATGCAAGTATTTTGACCCGAGAGTCTCCAACAGACAAGAAGCAGAAAGTTGAACGCAGTACATCACATGACTTTGACCCCACAGGTAACAACCATCCATATGATTGTAAGAGTAGATAGTATAGAAGAGTTTGACATAAAGCTGCTAAATAACCTGTGGCATTCAGCAAGTTACTAGACATTTAATATGACTTTTTTTTTTTTGGTGAGGCAATTGGGGTTAAGTGACTTTCCCAGAGTCACACAGCTAGTAAGTGTCATGAGTGTCTGAGACTGGATTTGAACTTGGGTCCCCCTGACTCCAAGGTTGGAGCTCTATCTACTCTGCCACTTAGTTGCCCCTTATAATATGACTTTTAGCAGTGGAATAAAACCTTTGTTTTGGAAGAATATAGATAGTCTTTGCTTCTCACCCCAGTCCATTTATATAGAATTTACAAACCATTTTTTCCTGCAGTAACAATATAAGTAAGTGTTGTTCTTGTCATGGGCTTAGCATAAAAAACCAACAACATATATGTGCCCAAAATATGTCTTAAGTACAAAGATATAACAATTGAAAATTTATGTAATTTTTCAAAATATGGTAATGGATTAATTAGCTTTGAGTGAAATCAAAATAAATAATTGATCTTATTTTATAAAAAGCAAATAATAGTGAGTACTTTTTCTTGCTTCAGTTGTGGTAAGTTTAAAAAGTGTCCTTTATGCAGAAATATCCAACACTAAATCTTAGTAATTTTGGGTCCCTTCCTGAAATATTCATTATGCATGTAGGTTTTTGAGAATGAATGCGTTTTGATTTTATGTAAATAGTGTGGCTTGAATCTCTTTTGTTTCTGGGCATTCAGAATCTGCTTTCAAAAGGTAAACTTAGTGTTTAATACACACACACCTACCCGTACACACACTTTTAGAGCTTCCCTTCCTTCTTTTTAACCCCAATTACACATAAATCCTTTTAGGCATTTAGTTTATAAAACTGTATGAATGATTCTTTTATGACCTTTGAGGGTGGTGTGTGTGTGTGTGTGTGTGTGTGTGCGCCTATAGTATGATGTTCAGTTGTGTTTCTCTCCATAGGATTATGTGATAAGATGAGGCAAAGAAAGGATGTTGCTTTTCCAGGACATGTGAATAGAAATCTGTTTTTAAAGGAAAGTGAACATAGTTTATGTTTCAATGTAAGATGGCTCACAACAACTGTTTTTTTTTTAAAAAACAAGCTACTCTTTCCATTTTGGGGAAAAAAGAATTTTAAGTGAGCTTGTAGCTAACAAATCTTATCCAACAAAGGAATGCTAGTCTATAAGAAGTTAATAACAATGTCTATAATTCCGTACCTTCTTGTATAGGAAAAGTAAAAATATTTGTTGTGGTCAACTTAGGAGATTTGGATGGAAAGAATGTGTCATGTGTTACCAAGATGGATCTCAGTTTGAGAGAGAACATTCTCTGTGTTTCTCATGTAACTTTGAGATCATGGGACCCAGTGGCTTTTCTTATAGTAACACTAGTTACTGTTTAGGGGCCACAAGTCTCTACCTTACTCCAAAAATAATACTGATGGTTTGTTACATCGCTGTGTATTGTTGATCTGTTGAAATCTTCTCTCCAAAGACAGATGTAGGGAAGTTCTGTTCAGTGGTCTATGTTAAGGATAATATCCTGTTTAGTATCTCTGTCTGTATAGTCATTAGAACTCTATTCTAAAGAATTTCTTTATCCATGTGTCATTGTATGAATAAATGTGTTTTTAATTGTCTTTTCTATGATAAATCTTTAGAATGTGTTGTTCATGGCTTGTTCTGAGTGCTGTCACTTGTGGTGTTCACACCTTGTTTGTGTTTTGCACGATTTAACCTGATCATTAACCTGATTCATTCTTTTTTCATGAAGTTTTTTCTCCTTACGTCAGTCTCCATATTTTCTATATCTTTCTCCTTTTCTCCCGCTTTTGTGCAGACAGCTCCTCCAAGAAGACAAAGTCTAGTTCAGAGGAGAGTAGATCGGAGACGTATGGTAAGCTAATGCAGCACCTTCAGCCATGTACTTTTCAGCCTGATTTGTGCCATTTTGTTTCTGTGTACCTGCAGCCTCTTTCTTTTGTCTGCCCTGCATGGCTAGGGAGAGGGAGTCTGGGGCTTTCGTGTGGCAGTGATTTGACAGCTTGTAGTTACTAGAGACTAACAGCGTAGATACAGGGATAGGCTATGTTCTCCACATTCTCTTGTCTTCTTGTTTTTGAAAGAAAGTGCAATATATCCATTTTGTTGCTTCCCACATGATGTGGATAGGTTTTGTCTCCTTTTTATGTCCCATCACTGTGTTAAGCTGTTTTAGTTTGGAACAGTAGTTCCTAGGTGGTTAAGATTTCATATTGTATCAGCTACTTTTTTCTTCTCATGATCTCGAAAAGCTGTTCCTATAGAATGACAGAGGCTCCCTTAGCAGCCTTCTTCATTTTTTTGGCTTAAACAATTTGTGCTTACATTTCATAAAATTCTCTAAAAATTTTCCCTCAGTTTGAAATTTTCAAAACAGTACCTACCCTTTAAAGATATTGATCTTTAGAAAAATTTAGTTTAGTCCAGATGTGTCTGCTACCTTGGTGGGTGGTTGATTTACCCAGTTTGCTTTAGGCTATGTCCTATCTTCCAAAGATAGTCCGAAGCGTGTGATATGCAAATTTGAAAGCTGAGTTAAATGTCTTCTTACAATATCTGACTCTTCTGTGTTTCAGGAATTGTAGATATCTGAAAGCAAATTCAGATCAAATTTATTTAAATAGTTTAGAACCGGGCTGGTAAATTATCCCTTTTCAGGAAGATTTCACACTTTTTCTAAGGTTAGGAGATTGATAGTAAAACAAGAAATCTGGCCTTTTCTAGTTGAGGATGAAAATCTGTCATATGGCAGCTTCGCTGGTTATTTTCTGAAATGCTATATACAGGTGAGAAAATCAGGAAATTTTATATATATTTATAATATCAGTCATATGCATCCAGATGTATGGGGATTTTACAATTTTTATCTACTGTCACAGTATTAAACTGCTTTATTACTTGTAAGACCTCCCTCAGAATTTAGTTAAAATCACGAAGGAATTCATATTAGTAAAATATTAATATCAGGGCCCTTTTTCTGCTTTCACTTGTGTAAAAGAGCCCTATGCCTGCTCCTTTGTAAGAGTAGGCTTTTTACACGTTGTTCAATAGAAAATGTGTTCCATTCCTGGGGGAATATGTTTTTTACTCTTAATGTATGGTGTCCTGGTTTTTTTATAGGTATGAGATGACGTACTAACTTAAACTGACTTTTCACTCCAATGTTTTGCCTTCATAAATAATTTCTTTTAGTTTATTCTCTGCTTAGAATCTCGGAATTCAGTTTCTTTACAGAATTTCTTCATAATCTTAATTATTTCCTTCCAGTGGCTTTGACTTTCCATTTCTCTAGTTCTGTGCCATGTGAAGAGATACTTGCTATTTGCTTTGGACAGGGCTTAAACAATTTAAAGATCTATGACAAGAAATATTTTGCTAATATTTTTCTTACAAGTGATGAGGATTTTAACACTGGTTCAGACATGCCATTGGCTGTGTAGTAATAGAAACATCTTAAGTGGTCATGGGGAACTGAGGTGTGGCTTTTTCTTTGTGTTTGTGTTCTTGAAATAAAGCATTATGAGTGAGCCCAGATTATCAGAAGCACTTAGTGGAGGGACTGTAGGGAGAGGCAGAGTTCCTGGACCATGTCCTAGATTTAGATGCTACAAAGCTAGTTTACATTGGATGATACAAATGTTTCAAAGCTACCAAAGTTTATTACTTAAATGAAAAAGCTATTTCCTGGCCAGTTGAAGATAGTTTGCCAGATAGTTGCATTAAAAAGGATCTCTTAGAAAGTCATTCATTCAACAAGTGCACCCCCCTACTCCTGCACTACTAGTTCTATACTAGGCATTGAGGACACAGGCAAAGTGACGATAGCTCTTGTTCCCAAGGAACTTACTTTCTAGGGGAAAACCAACATGTAAGTATAATGATTGCAAAATTATGCAAAATCACTACAAGATATTTTAGGGGTATTAGGAAAGGCCTTGTGTAGGAGATGTGGTACCTGAGTGAAGCTTTTAAAGTAATCTGGAGATTGTGAAAGGTGGAAATGAAAAGGGGAATTTTAGGAATGGGGGGGATGGCCTGTGTAAAGGAATAGAGATGGGAGATAGGAGGAACAATCAGTTTGACTGGACCAAAGTTGTGTGAAAGACAGTAATATATGAGAATCCTGGAAAGGTAGGCTGAAGCCATATTTTGAAGTCAAGTAAACATAGACTTGAATTTGAATAAGTAACACCTATTGGTGAAATTTAGCTTTATGTAGGGCATGTTGAAATGTCAATTTGTTAGATTTTTCTTTTGAGGTTATACTTACCTTTCTTCTCTTGGAGTAAAATTTGAAAACCAGATACTCATTACAGTCACCAACTATTAATTTACAAGTTTTTCTTCTTTTTTTTTTAAACTGAGTTAGCCACTTTTAATTTGTGAGAAAGACAGTGATTTGGAGTTCTTTCACTTAGTTAATTTCTCATAGAAACTGTTTTCTTTTTTTGTCATAAAAACGCATTTCTGAGTTACTGTTCATTGTAATTGGCAAATTTTTATTCTCTTTTTTCTCATTCCCACCCCCCGCCTTTGAGGATATATTTAGAAGAAAAAACCGAATGTTTTCTTACCTCTGGTTCCAACTATATGTGTTTCTCCTTTCTTTACACTCTTTCCCTTGGTAATCTTATTACTTGTAAGGCTTAATTATTCCCTCTGTGTATAATATTCTGGAGCCAAGCACTAGAGTTTTGGGGCATAGTAGATATTTAATAAATGTAGAATTGTTGAATTGCTCTCTGTAAAGAATCTGATTGGGAATCAGGCATTGCTGAACTGTACCAGTTTCTTGGGCAATAGCTCCTTCTTGAAAACTAGTCTACATGATTTTGTCCTTGACCCCTAGGGCTTCCTCTCTCATTAATTTCTAAACATTATTCTTGGTCCAAGACTTTCTTGCCCTTAGGTCTGCAGGACTTTCTAGGTTTCAAGTTCTGTCGCATTTGTTCCTTTCCCCTTTCTTCTATGAACTGGGTATCTGATTTTGGTACCTACTGTCTCTTTTCCATACTAGATCAGATTTATCTAGGATTTAATCAAAGATATTTATATTTTGTAGGAAAAGAGAGTATCAATTAAAAAATTTCTCAAGATAACCTAATTAGAGGTTCATATATATATGTATATGTGAATAAATTTTTTTCTACTCCATCTAATTGTATGGTGCCTAAACTTGTTAGTTAATATTTAATTGAAGTTTCCTTAGACTTAGTTTGGTCCACATGATCCTCTCTATATTAGGAGGCTATGCCATGATATTTCACTTCCTTTTAGCCTTCAAATACCAATGGCTTCATATGTACCTCAGAAACCTGGGCATCCTAAACTCAGCTCATTCTACCTGTTTTGCTGTCTCAAATTTGTTCAGGAAGCCTTATTGCTGGCAAAATGTTGGTGATCCTCCCACATTCCTGTATAATCATTTTGCAAACTAGATACTCTCCGTCCTGTCCAAAAAGGGGAAATAAACATATCTATTACATACCATTAAAGTATTTCCTCATCACCCTGAAAACAATGATTTAACATAATGCCAGGTTCGCCAAAGTTTCTTCCATCACATTCCGAATGCTATATCTCTAGCATTTCTCTCTCTCTCATGCTCCAGTCTATTATTGCCAAATAGGGAGACAACATACCCACTTTCCTTTGCTTTGATCAGGTTATATTTGTAGTATTCTGTTATGGGTCTGTTTCAGAAAGGAGAACAATCCCGAAGAAGACAGCTAGAATGGTTAAGAGCCTTGAAAACATGCCTTAGATGATCATTTGGAGAAAATGAGGATTTTAAACCTATAGAATACATTACTCCTCTTCGCTTACTCTAAACCAGGAATGGGGAACCTGTGACATTGAGGCCACATGTGGCCTTCTAGGTTCTCAAGTGTGGCCCTTTGACTGAATCCAAACTTCACAGAACAAATTCCCTTAATAAAAGAATTTGTTCTGTAAAACTTGGCTCGGAGTCTATACTGTAGCCAAACTGCTTTATTTGCTGTTCTCAGGTCATCACATTATATGTTTACAGCCTGTCCTGTTATTCCTAGAATGTTTTCTCTCTTCTCTTTTGCCACTTGGAACCTTAGCTCCCTTTAGGCCCTGCTTAAGTACTATTTCCTTCAAGAGGCCTTTGCTGAATCTTCTATTTCTTAGTGCCCACTCCCATAACTTTATATTTATTTTGTATAGCTATTGTGTTTACATATCTGAACTTACTGTATCCCTCTGGGAGGATGTCAGCTCCCTGATAGCAGTGATAATCTTACTTTTTGACTTTATATTCTTGTACCTAGCAGCATTCTAGGCACATAGTAGGCACTTACAAATGCTTTTTGTTTGCTTGATTCAGGCATCTCTTATTTATATATCTATTAGCCTATTTAATCCCCCCACTAGAATGTAAGCTACTTGAGGGTAGGAATTATTTCACTTTTGTCTTTTGTATTCCTTTATCTAGCACAGTGCCAGGGACATAATAGTCACTTAATAAATGTTTGATTGCTTGATTTGTACTGCCCTCTCCTGTTTTAGGCTTTCATCGTCTCTTGAACTTTTGCTAACTGCTGTCCTTGCTTGTTAATTCTTCTTCATTCTAAAATTCAATCTCAACTGCTTCTAGGGGATTTTCCTGAATCACATTCCTGATCATATAATTTCCTTCTTTAAAACATTGACTACCACATAAATCCCAAATAATCTGATATTAAAGATTCTCCATAATTTGGCCCCAGTCTACCTTTCTAGCATTGTACTCCAAATATAGCCCTGCCTTTTCATATCTGTCTAGAAAGCTTTTTCTTCCCATCTCTTCCTTCTAAATCCTGCCTATACTTAAAGGTTCAGGTGAAATGC